AATGAAGACTCAGTTCTGTTCTATAGCATTTGAGTTTTTAATTATTTTTCTAAGAAATCACACTTTATTTTTTTTGACAATGAATGTGATGCAAACATTAAAGAAACATTTATAGACTATCTGTGCCCCATTACATAAGTAAGTCTGTAAATTATTTCTGTCCATGTAATCAAATATGTATGTTAGATAAACTAATATTACCCAAGCTTTTATTAAAAAAATGCAATCTGGTGTCATTGTTAACTCATTTCTCAGTAACATGAAATGGTTTTTGGTTGTGATCTATAATGGGATAATTATACCAAAAGCCTGTTAGCAACTCATGCAAGATCAAGTTGAAAGATTAAGTCTGGAGTCTGTTTACAAAAAGCCGGGATACTTTTTCATGGTGATAATCAACAAACTAATGAAATATTTGAAAGCAAGAAAGTTGTTTTGAAATTAAGAAACACTACTCTTTCATCCATCCCATAGGAACTTCACTTGCGGGGTTATTTAGAGTAAAACATTAGTCCAATACTCAGCACAAATTCCAAATATTACTGGCAGTGAAAGATCTTGTAAATCCTTTTATACTTAATATCATTGATCTTATAAGTGTAGATAGAATTACAAGATCCCAGTTTAGAAGGGTTCTGGCATTGACAAATGTGGAAAAATTGTCCTAGCTATAAATTGGTACTTAGTAACTCACGACATTGTCAGTAGAAATATGTGTATCTATAAGTACTAAAGTTATATAATATGGAAGAAATAGACCTCATTGGCCCAGTCCTTCAGGAGACTTCTAATTTAGAAAATGCAGCCAATTTTCCCTTAAACTTCGTTGGGGTCCTACATGTAAAACTAATCAAAGTAGACCTGCTTTGATTAAAACAGTTGAGCTTTCTCAATGGGAGTCAGATTATCTCTGAGACACCACCAAGGAATATCATAGGGTCTTGCAGAGTAGTGTTTGAAAATCATTAATTTATACTAGATGCCCCAAATGTCAGTCCTCTGACTAAGACTTTCCTGTAATCAACCCAAAGAAAGCAGAGGAATGAAATAGTGAAGATAAATGTAAGAATTAATGAAAGAGAAGACGAATATATGAGGATCAACAAAGCCAAAAGTTGGATCTATGAAGAGACTAATGGCTGTGACACACCTGGAAATGTCCATGAGAGAAAGAGAAGAAACACAAAAATAAACAATATTAGAAATGGAAAATGAACAGACCTATAGAGGTTATAGGGATTAGAAGACAGCAAGAATATAACAATTTATAACCTTGAAAACAGATTAAATGTACATGTCCCTAAAAAATTTAACTTAACAAAACTGGCTCAAGAAGAAATAGAAATTCACAAAGTCCTATAATTATTAACTAATTTGAATAAATGATCAAAATATTTCACCAGACCCCAAAGATTTTACTAATGAATTCAACTCAGCATTCAAAAAACAAGTCATTCTAATTGTACTAGTTTGCTTGGGCTGCTATCGTAAAATACGACAGAGTGGATGACTTAAACAACAGAAATTTATTTTCTCACACTTCTGGAAGCTAGAAGTCAAAGATCAAGGGCGTTGGGAGGTTTGCTTTCCTCCAAGGCCTCTCACCTTGGCTTCCAGATGGCTGCCTTCCTATTGTGTCCTCATATGGCCTTTCTCCCACTTGGGGGTGTCTTTTTATAAGCACACCAGCCAGATTGGATTAGGTTGTACCCTAAAGGCCTCATTTTAACTCAGTCACTTCCTTAAAGGTCTAGTCTGCAAATACAGCCATATACTTATGTACTGGGGGTTAGAACTTCAACATATGAAACACAATTCAGCCCATAACGCTAATATTTCACAAACTTTTATATTATAGAAAATGATGAAATACATCCCAACTCATTCTAAAGCCTGAAGAGAAAATGACAGACAAACCTCACTTATAAAAGTAGATGAAGAATTCCTAGACAAAATGTTTGTAACCGAACCCAACAATGTATTTACAAATATAATAATCATGCCCAGGTTGAGTTTATTATAGAATATTATAGTCACTAAAACTCTATTCTCAGTCGTTAAAATTCATGGTAACAGTTTAAAATTGATTAGTTTGCTGGTACTTAGTGATTTGTAAAAAAATGTACTTATTTGAAAATATATTTAATTTACATAAGACCTGGAATTTGGGTGGTCTTATGTTCATTAAAACCTATGGATTTTTAATAAAACTTATTTTTACTGTGGTGTCTTCCCTGTATTTGGGAAGATACCAAAATTTTAAATGTGTTGCAGATGACTTTGAGGAGCTCACCGCCATGAGGCTGAAGGATCCGCATTCAGAAACACATCATAGTTTTCACACAAGTCCTTTGGTTGAGTTGCTCAGAGAGAATGCCAGTCTCTGATTTCTTAAATGTAATTTTGGAGCAAACATCTACCAGCGTGTGGCTGCTCACATCTGTTATTTTAAGACGCTAATCAAGAAGAACATAGCGTCTCACCTCCCCCATGTTATTTATGTGACTTTACATGAAACAGTGCTCGAAGCTAATTACAGGATCCTGGGTTGCACAGTCAATAGGCATTTGTGATCCCAAGTGGGTGCTATTGAAGAAGAGAAAGGAAGGAAATACCACCAAGCAAAGGCCATTCAGTAAACTTTTTATGCTTAAATATCACTCCAGGAGTTCAGCTTTCTAATGGGATTTATTTTTACTTACTTACTTAGTAACAGGAACAGGCTGTCTTATATGTTGTATCTGAAGATCTAAGAAAGAAAAGGCCTTGCGTCTTAGTAGCTGAGGTTAATGTGGTAAAGAAATTCCGTTCACAAGCCCGGTCTATTGTGGTGTCTTTGAGTGGGTGGGTTCATTGCTCCCTTATGTGGCCTCATCCTGTCCTCCAAGCCCAGATGGCCGTCCTGCCATGTGCTTGTCACTAGGTGGACTGGCTGAGACCACAGAAGAAATGGAACAAATCCACACCCACTGGCAGAAAAATCTCTACATTTATATCCCACTGACAGCAGGCCAGTGTAATTATATTTGTACATGAAGGACAGTGTTTCTTATAATAATTGTCTATAAGTTTTTGAGACAGTATTTTGAAATATGAACATATTTTTTCCCGGAATTCTTTGCTCCTTGTGATGCCCCCTTTAGCCTGGCAGCTGGGGCCTCTGCATTCACTTCCTTAGGAAAGGGGGACAGAGCAGAGTACAGAGAACAGTGAGGCCAGCTCTTGGCTGGTGAGTTTCGAGAGCCTGGGCCTGGCATGAGATAAAAGACTGGAAAGAATTGCTTGAGAATAATCCTGGAGGCAGGCACACCCAGACACATTTAGGACACTCTGGAGTGACCTTGCATCAAACACGATGAGGAAGAAAGAGAAACATCTGCCTGGTGTTTAGGCCAGTCGCCTGAGCGTGTCGTCAAGCGCCCTGCCCCGCAGGCTGGTACAGGAGCAGAGGACAAGCTTGTGCAGCCAGGGGCCCTGACACAGCCTTTCCCCCGTCCGGGGGGTGAGAGCAGCAGAACGCTTCCAAGCGCCCGACCAAGAGCAGCGTGAATGTGGCACTCAGGCCACAGACCTGAGGAGGCTGAGTTCAGGAGGGAGGCAGGGCACAGCAGTGCCTCCATGGGCCTCTGGCTAAGGCTGGTGAAGGTCAAGTGGATTAGGGACGGCTCGCAGGACTCCGGTTAGACAGAGGATGGCCCGGTGCTCCCTTATCCTCAGAGACGAGGAGTCCTAGGAGAGGTATGTGCTGCCTGGAGCCCTGACCCTTTCCTAGGCCATGCCCTGGGACCTGGGGTCCTGGAACTCCTGGTCCAAACTCCTGATCGGACCACTTCCAGGGCCCGCCTGGGCTGGTGCCCCAGCCCCATCTTTATGAGGACGTGGGCAGACTGTACTGCTGGCGTTTGTACCCCAAGACCACTGGGGTCTCCTGGGGGGGGCTGTTTGTCTGGTGTGTTGACATAAATGTGGATGCAAGTGTGGCTTGCAGCCCTCGCAGTGCAGGGCAAACCTGGGGTGGGCAGAGGAGGGTGAGCCTCGGGTCAGAGCGGGCTTTCAGCATGGCCATGTTCCAGGTCATTATGAAGGTATATTTGTCTTGGAGGGTAGAACACATTTTTTTAAAAATATTTTTTTTATTGATTTGAGAGAGAGGAAGGGAGAGGGAGAGAGAGATAGAAACATCGGTGAGAGAGAAGTATCCATCGGCTGCCTCCTGCACGCCCCCTGCTGGGGATGGAGCCTGCAACCCAGGCATGTGCCCTGATGGGGAATTGAACTAGTGACCTCTTTGTTCGTGGATAAATGCTCAACCCCTGAGCCACACCAGTCGGCGATAGAATGCGTTTTAAGTAACGGTTTGTTAGCTTGATTTTATAGCTTCTGCATATTTGGACACGTGGGGTGTGGACTTCCACCAGTGTCATGCGCTTGTTTTATCTCTGCCCCACGGTGGCTTCTCAGGGCAGTGGCCTGTGCACCGTTGAGCCCCTGTCACTCTGCTCAGTGCCCCGCCTACATCCGTCTCAATGAGTGCTGATTGAATGAATTTGTAAAATAAGTGTGTGTTTTTGACAGCTGTTCATCTGAAAAGCCATTCAAGGTTAACTACCCGTGTTTAGAACCAATGAAAATATTCTGGTGGAATTTGGATACAATACTCGGGAACTGGCATAGATTGAATGCCACTAATCGTCTTCCACAGGAAGACAGGGTGTCGCTGCTGCTGCCTCCGAGGAAGTGAGACAGGGAAAGCCCTCGGCTTGAATATGGTCCAGGGGGTAAGCCCCGGCTTCGGCCTCGGCACTGGCCTTGGCTAAACCCAGCTGGCCACACTCTACACCCTCTAGAGCTTGCCATCCACTGCAGAGCCAGCAGCCTGTGCTTCGGGCATGCCAGGCTTGGCTCCTGCTCCTGTGCCCGGAGACTGTGCTGGCGCCGTGACAGAGGACTTGGACTCGGCCCTGCTTTGCTCTCATTAACCAGGCGGTGGGTGGGGTGAGTGGGTCTGTGGGGCTGCCTGACACCGTTGGGCTCCCTTCTTCCAATTCGCTTGCTTTAGCCGAGCTTCTCTGCAAACACATCAGCTGAGGGAAGACAGTCTGAAATGAAGACTATTACATAGTGATTTTATGAATAACATAAACTTCCTAACGTCAGTCTTTTCCTGTTACCTTTTCAAACCGGGTTTTAGAAGCAAGCTTATTTTAGATTCTCGTAGTAAGAACAAACTTAGAAACTGCTATAAGGTGTGACACATTTGATGCAAAATTTAGCTGGATAAGGAATGATGTTCCTCATTAATAGGTACAATTAGGTGACGGCCACTAAAATATATATGAGCTAAGGTAACTATGTCAAATGGCACGCTCAGGGTTAATTAGTAAAGGAAGGAGTGTAGGTGATAAACTTCTGACATTCTGGCTTTATTAGGCATGAACCTAAACGGAGGGGTTTGTGCCACGTTTACTTGTGGAGGATGTTACGTTTACTCGGCTCTAGGGGAGTTTTTTGGTCTGTTGAGCAGAGCAGACAAGGCCCAGGACATCTCCAGGGTCATGAGCATTCTGTGTTGCTGACTGGCTTTGGAGCTTAATTATTTAAATGTTTCCAGACTCAAATGACTGATGAGCTAACATATTTTTAATTAGGACTTTCACAGAGCAAGCCATACGCTGTGCCCGAAGCAAACACCGCAGACTTGCCTTGATGAACTCATGCGAGCTGAGAGTTCCATGCTGTGTATTGTATTTTGATGTTCACATTTTAAATTGTAAATTTAAAACTTAATTCAAATTTTAAGGGAACAGTGCCCTACCTTAATTCTAGTCCCCAGTGAAGGCTTCCATGAAGATGACCAGAGTTTGGTTGTTTTTTGAAGAGAGAAGGAACGCTGTTAGAATAAAGAAAAAGAATGTTGCCAGGGCGTTCTACTTAATTTAGCCCTCTAAAGATAAACAGGCTGGTGAATCATGGCAAGCTGATGTTGCTATTTTAATGCTAATTCTGCAACCTTTTCCTATTTCCTGCCTGTCTATGAGTAGGTGGGTTATAGGTAAACTCACTCAGAGAAGAGTTTGTTCCTATCAGACTCCTTTTAAGTTTCCCCGTGGTTCAAACTATTTCTTATGTAAGCAGTAGCTACCAGGGGCTCTTAAAATAGTACTTTCGAGAATAAGAGCATATCTGAGAATTATCCAGTCTGCAGAGATTATATAAAGTTAACACAGTTTGCTAATCATCAAACTGAAGTGATTTAACTATCCCAAGCGAATTCCAGATAGTTTATAGCACTATGCAAATGGTAATTGAATCTTGACCTGTCGGTTCTGCAAAATTGACCATGGAAAATACTTTTCCTGTCCCCAGCAAAACAGATCTGGGTATCACTCTTGTCATGTCTTAGTCTTTTTAGCATATGTTCCATTTTCCAAGCTGGGGGTGGTTAACTGAGCGGCTCATGCTTCCTCAGAAGGTTTACCAACTAGTGGTTATTCCTGTCGTAGAGGCTCCCATCTACCTGGGCTTCATTAGCAAAGAGATGGTCTTATGTATGTCTGTATCAGAGTATTAGTAATAAATAATTACAGCAAACATTCCTGAGCGGATAATATAGTAGGTTTTCAAGCAGTGAATGGTTTTTGCTATAGAAATACCAAAGCTCTCTGTAAGAGTCACGGCATCCAACGGTGAGGACTTGCTGCGAGTCCTGTGAATTCACTCAGCTGGCCCACACCCTTTCTGTCTCTGTCTTGTGTCCTGAGCCAGGTCCCATTGCTTTCAGAGCTGCCCTCACTCCTGCCTTCTTCCCTCCTTTGCTTTTGCTCCTGGTATCCACATGAAGGCCACGTCACTCTGCTGTATACTCTGGATCTTTCTTTCTACCCCTTGTGTTTGGTTTTCCCCTGTGTTCTCATTGTCCATAATGTGGAAGAGCACATTCATTTATATCATTGTAGGAGAGGAAAAGGAATGACTTCCAGGAAGATACTTACTCACCCTAGCCTCCCTGAGATGAAAGAATCTAAAATAGGCTTGCTTCTAAAACCTGGTTTGAACAGGTTATAAGAAAAGACTGACTTTAGGAAGCTGTATGTTATTCATAAAATCACAAGGGTCCTTATAGAAGAGAGGCAAGAAGGTCAGAAGAAGAAAAGGCACTGTGACAGCAGAAATAGAAATTGGAGTGATGTGGCCATAAGCCAAGGAATGCCAGCTGCTTCTAGAAGTTGGAAGAGACAAGGAATGGGTTCTCCCCTGGAGCCTCCAGAAGGAACTGCCCTGCTGATACCTTGACAAGCCCTGTAAGGCTCATTTCAGACTTCTGACCTCCAGGGCTATAAGAATAAAGCTAATACCGATGAAAATACAATGGGAAAAGTGAGTTGAAAGCAGAACTGTGAATCCGGTAGAGAAGGCAGCCAGAGGATGGCTAATTACTTCTCTAGGAACAACCACTGGGGCTCCCCATCTTGTCCCACTTCCCTGCTCTTAGTTAGAACTTGGTTAGCCCCTGATTGTGATGCAGTGCCTTTCCTTGTCTTGCCCCTCATATCAGAGACAAATGTTTATCTCATTTTTCCCCCCCATGGCTCTCAGGAACTTCCCTGCAATTGTCTTGGAGGAATGACTTGGCCTTACATTCCTCAAAGACTATATGTAGCTAGATGTTTGCTAGGGTCCTAACAAATCCTTAGGTGGCTGGTGTTGATGCTCACTGTTACCTGTGCCAAGTTTGGTGGCCTGAATGGCCAGTACCCGAGATTCCTCCCTAGTAATTAATAGCTAAGATCTTATCCTTTACTTCCTTAGAACAGTGGTCTTAGCGGGAAAATCCTGAGAGCTTAGTTCCCAGTTAAATCAGCCAGGCATGTGTTGATTACCTTCTGTGTACTCAGCATGTTGCTCTAGGTGTCCTGGGGTCATACAAGGACTTAGGTGCCTCCACTTCTTCTTCAATGCCTGGAAAAGAAGATAATAGCAGCATGGTGACACAGAATCATTTCTCTAATTTGCTGGCTAAATAAGTATCAGTACTTACCATTGTTTCCTAAGAGATGGCAAAGTGTACTTGTGTAGGAGGAACCACAGTTTTCTTCGGGCTATTTAAAGACATCCAGTGGAAATTGATGAATGAGTGAAAAAGTGATGAGTACTTTAGAGGCATGATGGGATTTTCCAGTCGGTGAAATGTGAAATGGCTGAACTTGAGAATGGGCCTTGTCTTACCATGATGTCTGTTTATTTATCCACACATCACTTAGGTGGTCATGCATCCTTCTAAACACAACTGCTGAGCACTTAGTAGTGTTCTCAGAGTCATGAAGACTGACTAGATCCCTGCTTTCATGGGCTGTATATTGCAGCAGAGGTAATCAATTTATGATTCATAAGGCATTCCAAGAAACATCTTGTTACAAAGAAATGTTTAGCCACTTAAATTCCAGTCACTCAGAGCCTAGGATACCTTGCCTGATGAAACCCAGCAAGATATCCCATGAAAGGACTATTTTTGTTTGCTAGGTGGTGTTGCCCTTGCCACCCTATAGGAACAGCTCATTAAGACCGAGCCTAAACCTTTTCCCCTGTCCATGCTATCTAGATAACTGAAACACCACACCCTTTCTTTATAAAATCATGAGTCCAGGAGGGATTTGAGAGGGTATCAGTTTATTCTACTGACTTGGGCACAAATGCTTTCAGGAGCCAGGTAGGTCTTGTAGGTGTGTGTACAACTCAATCTAAGGCAATAAGGTATGGTGGGGACTTTGGCAAATTGAGAGTATATGCCTTGACTAACACTTTCAAGATCTGGCCTGACCAAATGATTATGTGAGAAGGCCAGCTTTTTATAGACTGCCGGTTGGCAGCCCTTGATTGCTCATCTTAGAAAACAGTAGTTTGACCCCCTTAAAGCCTTCTAGAGACAAGCATCTTTGTGAGTTTGGGGCACAGGCTTCTCTCAATCAAGCCAGCATGCACCTGCCTGCCATCTGCCGGTAGAAGGAAACTTGCTATTTGGTTTGGGTGGGCACCTGTCATACTTTCAGCTAAGTGATGGCTTGTGGAGAAAACTTGTTCAGGTTGTATATCCCTGGATCGGGTTCTATGAAGTAGTTTTTCCTTTTGTTTGCTGGTTTTATAGCAGTAGGCTCCTCCACAAGCAGCTGTAACTGTCCTTTAAGCAACAGGCCCATGGATGGAGTCAAGAGCACCCTTTTGCCAATTACTCAGCACCAAATCAGACAAGCGCCTTCCTCTACATTCCAGTGACCTGGTTGTCTGCTGACAATTTTTTGAGCACTAGCCATAATAAAGTGTATGTGAAATTGCTGAAAACTGTTTTTAAAATCTTCCAAGTGATAAATAAATTGATCTAGATAACGGTAAGCATAGATTATTCTGCTTTGATTTATAGATTTATAACTTAGCTTCCCTTCGGAAATAATTTTTAAATTCAGCATCTTGTCTCCTGGCACCTACGATTGCTAATGAGAAGTCTGTGTTGGTCTAAATGCCATCTCTCTCTTTCATTTCCGAGATTGCCTTGGAGTTTATTTTCCACAGCCATCTAGTCTCGTCGCGCATCCACCTTTTTTATTTCATAGTTTTCTGTTGTTTTTCATACACATCTTATTCCATTCTTGGTTTTGGGGATTTATACTCCCACTGCCCATCCAGGCCTTATAAAGACATGGCTTCTGGAAATAGATCAGTAGTCATTTTTTATTTCCCCGTTTATGTTATTGAGTTGGGGAGCCCCGTTCAAGCAGCCCTGCAGCCTGGTTTTGACACCTCCTTCCTCGAGTGGAGCTCTTTTAAACCCATCTCCACATCGGAGCCGTGCACCTGGCCTCCTGCCTCCAGCACAAAGCACTGTGAGCACAGCAGGCCTCAGTCTACAGCTCAAGAGCTTTGGGCTCCTTTCTAACTCATTTAAGTGGTTATCTAACTTTTCAAGCCCAGCTGTGACTTACCTATTTAATATTTGATCTGCCATCACTATGTGTTTGGAGCAGAAGGGTGGTGTCCAAGCGTGGACTCACCAGACCACCTTGACCAAAAGTCCAGACATGTCAACCGGCTGTGTCTGAAGGCTACAGCTTCGTTAAGGCCTAGGTTCCAGGCAAAGCTCCGAGTATGCGGGGAGCTTTCGTGGCCTCTGCGTTAAGATGTTATTGAGTCTGTGTGAACGGAAGACATACTCTAAGGACCATGTACAAAGGAAGAGAAGCACTTTAATGAGTAATTCAGGAGACCCCTCCTCCCACATGACACCAGAAGAGAAATCTCAAAGGGAAATGGGAATAATAAAAAACAGGGCATGTCAAGCAACTGTTGTCCTAAAATCCAGATAATAAAATATTAGTTAAATGTGTAACTGGTTTTTTTTTTGAGGGGGGGGTTGCCCAGTTTTTCCTGGAACTACTCTCTGTTGCAAAACTTTCTCCTGTGCACTTTTTTATTTTTAATAGTTCAGGGATTTGGTTTAGTACTTAGGAGAGTTACCAAGCACTTTGCTCCATGCAACTATCTCTATCTGATAGCAGTTCTTGTAAAAGCAGTGGCCAAATCTCTTCAGAACAGATTTCCAGTAGAATGTTCCCAAAGGAACTTGGGAGCGAGCTCGACTACTTCCTAATCGGTAATCAATATTCTGGCACTTGATTTCTTTGTATGAATCAGAAAGGGAGAAGGTCTGATGAGCTCACCCAGGTGTCCAGGAGATCTGCTGGGCTAAGCAATATAATTATGTGGGCAATTCATTCTCTTAATTTTTTCATTGCAAGGAACAGAGTCTTAGCTTTGTAGAAAAGGACTCCAACTGGCCCCCTGAAAGCCAAACCATTTTATTTTTAGCCTGTGATCCTGGAGTTGCCACACCCCTTGGAAAGTGTTCCAGCCTCTTATTCTGCACAGCATCCACTTGAACTTCTCTGGGTCTACCTGGGCTCAGATTTCAGTCAGAAGAGCCAGAGCATGATTGCCACCTACCCTCAGCTCTTCCCTGTGTCCCCAAAATCCAGGTAACTTCCTCACAGAAAAGTTAAGGAATATTATGAAATGAGAAAAACTTCTCTGGGAAGCAAAGACTTTCTCTTCTTCTTTGAAATTGAAAGAGAGAGACCAATAGTTTTTTGGAGAAAGATATGAGAATGGCCAGCTGATCACCAGGTCCTCGGTGATGCATCTGAAGGTGGTGCTGGATGCCCCTGGTAGCCTTGCCCCTGCCCCCTCAGCTGGTCAGACCCAGAGTCACGAACACCTTACGGTCAACCTCAGACAAACCGTCCCTTAAANTCAACCTCAGACAAACTGTCCCTTAAAACCCTGGCCGGGGGCAGGTCGTAGCCTCCTCTCTGTCGGTGGAATCTCACTGAGGGTATTTTGGATGCAAGTGCTCCGAGATACCATTAGCCTCAAGCAGATCAGCCTGATTCTAAGAAAGCTGAGGAATACACCTATGGGGAAGTTAATAAAAAATGGGAACTGAACTCATATTTAAAACATGATGTCGAACATTAGGCTTATTGACGCTGCTGCTATGCCATACAGCTTCTCTGGGCCAATGAGAAAGAGCCTGGTGAACGCTTTCTACTCAGACGTTCCCTAATGAGTGCATGTTAATATGGGTCGGAACTAAATCCAGGACGGGCCTGGCTTCTCCCTGGAGCTTGAGGCCACTCAGTGGGGTTTTTCACTGTCACTTTGCCTTTCTGGTGCCAGGTAGGGACAGTGGTGGTGCTGGGCGGCAAATGCAGGGAGACAGGAAGCAGATGTGTCCGTGGGAATTTATGCAGTTTTTAAACACCCCCATCTCTAACAGACACTCAATATTAGTTTCGTTTAATTAGGCTCCTCTCTGTGTTGCCCACCCCTTGTTTATGTCTGACGTCATCAATAGTTAGAGAGGTTCGGGTACTTAGCAGGTGTGAGAGGGAGAGAGGGAGTTCCTAAAAAAGGAAGGGGGCCCTGTGGCAAAACACTAGAAAGGATTATTTTCTACCCCTTTAAATCGCAAAATTAGAAAGGTAACATATGCCTATATTATATATTATGGATCACCCCCAGCAGGATCTGAACAGATTCCCGTAACCGATAACATCAGAATTTCTGTAGCAAAACATAATATCCTAAGTGAGATAAATAGAGATTTTAAATAGCCTCACATCACTTCTGCTCAGGTTGTGACACTGATGCATTTAAGAGGCAAACTTAAAAAAAAACACCACCAAAAAAACCTTAAGATTTTCAGAAGGTTTTGAATTTTAGAATTGTGTATGAGATTGTGGATCTTACATAAATCACATCATGAATTAAGCAGTGTTTAATGTTTAATGGTCTGGCCTTGGAACCCAATCAGTGTTTATGAGAAAAAGTGTTTTTCAAATGACCAACAAAACAAACGCTGGAACACAATCCATTTGTAATATTGGGGACTGACTGTATTAAAAATAACCAAAAGCCACATTTTGAACTGTACACAGCCAATAGAAATACATTTATATTAGCGTACACTGCCAGCAGATGACACTTATTAGCTACTCCTTTCCAGAATCTCAGTCTTCATGATGTATTTTCTCCTTCTCTTATATTTTGTATTTTCCTAACTCTTCTCTTTAATAAAAAAAAAAAAAAGTTAGTCTGCCCTAGATTTTCTCCTTATGACACTCTGGGTAGTTAGCAGTCTTAATCAGGGCAGGAAGATGAGGCATGGAAGCCACAGTGATTTCAGTCTTAAGAGATCCAAGCATTTTTTAAAACATATGAAGAATTTTTTTGAAATTAATAGTGATATGTCCTCAAAATTGTGTGACAGAATTAAAAGAACAGGAATAAAAATCTCAGGGCAAAATCACTGAGAAAGTCAACCTTTCTGGGAGGAAAATACTTCTGTACTACTTATGATATCATAAATGAAGTATTTTGCTTAAACAATAAAGGAGCCCCAAATCCATAGGTAAACATGAAATTCCATTAAAAGGAAAAATATTTAGAAGCTACTGAAATGGAAGACTAGATTCTGAATAATTTACAAGTGGTTTGTCACTAGAAATTCCAATGGCATAAAGAAATGCTAAGCAAATGAATTGCTTTTTAGATTCAACAACCCTGCGGAACAATAACACCAAAAACTGTTTTTTAAAAACTCGTCAAAGTAAAAAACCTGTAGAATCTGACTGTACTGGGATTCATTGTATCAGAGGTCAAATGAGGCCACTGTAAATTTTTTTCACTGTCCCTGAGAAAATGCAGAAAATACAGAGATGTCCTCCCCACCCTCTAACCCCATCATAACAGCCACAGGGCGTGACCTCTGATTCCCTCGGCACTCTGCCGGTCCTTGTGCTTTGGTGGTGTCAGCAGCTCTAGGTGTCTTGGAGGGTTGTCCTTCTATAGCCAAATTAAAGAAAAGAAGTGAAATGGGTTTTCCTGGGTTAGTCAACGCAGTGTTCTTCATCCTCAGATCCCTGTTACTG